GGAGAGGGGGAAGGAGCTAAAAAGTCGAATGTCAAATGTTGCTGTATGAATTGCGAGTTTTCGATTCCGCACAGTTATCACCCGCGATCGTTTGTTATTGACAAATTTCGACGATTCGAACGTTCCCTTTTCATTCGGGGCGCCCCTTTAGGCGGACTTTTTGTTCTTTCCCGCGCTTTCCCGTTCGACGTTCGACGTTCGCCGCTTTGGATACGGTGAAATTGTTTGTTTGCAGAAATGAGCTTGCTTGTAAGCGTTTGCTGTGAAACCTTTTGCGAATAACACAATAATTGTCGTGTTGAAGGTAAATAATCTTCTCCCATGTGTTTCTCGTTAGGCTATTATTGCCTGAATAAAATATTTTTTTTTTTACTTTTCACTTTAAAAATATCTACAGATATTAAAGTAAAATAATTATATTAAATACGAGTTCAGTTTGTTATTGCAAAGTGTTTGTTATTTGACAAAAAGATCAAGAAGAATTAATAGTGATTGTACGAGAAATCGTTATTCCTTTCATGTTATTGTTCAAATTGAAATATAAGCATCGCATGATAATTAGTAATTATGAGAAAATATGAGCCGTTAGCGGACGCCGAATGGCAGACATCGATTGAAAGCTAACTGTCAAACTTTTGTCACGAAACCTATTTCTCTATGCACGATATATTTCACTGCCATTTTGATATTGAGTTCCCTTCGCAGTGAACTTCGATTTTTGCACTGCTACAAATCCGAAAACAAACAATTTTCAGCTTTTCACCGTCGCAATAAGGTATTGGAAGCATTTCGGCGTGTGTCAAGTTAAACTTGCCGGCTTGCGAAGAAACAAACTTCTTAACGCACTTATGGAAACAAATCGTAAGCGAACTTGAACTTTATGCGGTGTACGCACGACACACACAACATTTCGTATCGATCACAGACTTACACGTAATTCCTTTAATGCGGTTAAAAATATTTACGTGTGAGGGTGTCTTAGTTCTTTTTTCTTTTTTTATTTATGGCAGTGATAAAATTGTTTGCGGCCATGTTCAGTTCGTTTAATATCGAGCACCTGTCTATTTTAAATTTTATTATCTGTTATCGGAGTTGAAAACGCTGGAATAAATCACTCGGTGACCCTCGTTTTAAGTTTGGGGGTCTAAGCTTACGTGTCTCGTGTCGAAATTTCGATTGTGGGGATATGTTTGTAATTAAGTCGTATTCGGTTTCTTCCGAATGTAACTTTGACCGTTAGAGATATTTTAATACCATAAATATTATTATTCTTAAAAAAGTATAAAGTTTACTTTTACGGCCGGTTCCAGTATTCTGTCTACAGATGGATTTGTTTACTGGAGACAGAATTTTGACGTAAGTATTATGTATGGAGCTAATGTCAAATACCTACCGCTAGTAACCAAATCTATCTGTAGATAGAATGTCGAAACCGACCGTAGACGTTAGTGCGTTTTTGCCTGTTTTTTGTTTGAATAGAAGATATGTTTTTTAACATAAGTACGTATTTCAGTATTTGCTACCACGTTTCACTGCAAGATATTGATAGAAAATACTACGAATAAAAATGACCGAAACTAATGGTAACGCTATACGACACCTATCCTAAAAAGCCAGCACTTTTAAGTAGTAACAAGATTTTACTCGCTTCACTAGAATTCATATCCGTTTTTATTTTAATTTTTTACTTGGAAGAACTAAGTCAGATTTGGTATCTTACTTTAATGGAATTAATTGATTTTAACGTATTGAAAAGGCTATAATGAAAAGTGTCCTACGTTAGTCATTTCGACTAAGAATAAAGTTGTTAAATTTTTCGGTTAATGTCGGCCTAAGTCGCGGCCCGCACGCGATTGCTTCCGTATAGATCACTATCAACAACAAACTTATAATTTATAACTGAAAAATATTGGATCAATCAATAAAGTATCCTATGTTAAGGTAATAGGGTACAAGTTCTCGAGTGCACCCAAAGCGTAAGTTTGTCAGCCGCCCCAAGACGTTCGATTTTCGACTTGGCCTTTTTTTTGAAAGAGTCATTCCAATGTTCGGATTCGATTTTTGAATTTCACGTTATGTCGGAATAGACAGGTGATTTTCGACTTTGTGTAGCGATGCCCGCGAGTGTCAACATCGACTCGGAAGCGGTGTTTTCGTTTTTAATTTTGTTTTGTGCAGGCAACGGTAGCAGACGTACGGACTATGAACGTGGCTTGAACCATTTATTATCTGTATCAAAACGAACGGAATAAAACCTTCGATAGAAGTGATAAACTTTTTTCGATAATCCTAAAGTAATTTTTATTAAACATATCATGATATTTTTACTTTTTAATTCATTGTTTTATTTCATAGATCAACGCTCATTTTTCGAACACTGTCCATGCAACGTAAAGTATTTAATTTAACAGTTAGTGCTATTACCGCGCTAATAATCCTTGTGTGACCCGCCTCGCCTCTTATCTACCACATCTGGCCTCCCCCTAATGAATATTAACTAATAACAAACTGTTGTGTGGAACAACCGAGCTGAAGTGGGAATAATTTCTATTTGTATGACTCACTCACGGCGACATGGATTAATTTATTAAAAATGACACTGGCACTTTTTGTCTCTTTTTTCTTACTAAGGAGTGAATCGCGAATCAATATCGTTTTATTATTTTTAGCGCGTCACGCCGTGGGCTTGCCAGTGTTTTTAATATTTTCGCGGGTTTACGATGGAAGGGTTCTTTGTATGAACTAGGAACGAATCGCCATTAATATCGGATTCGCGCAAAAACACGTGCTTGCAGATTATCTTCTCGTCATCGTTTTAGGTATTGATGAAATTTATTATTGCTGCCGACAGATAAACTTGTATAGCAAATATGGTATGTTTATCAAAGCGTGCCTTGCTGAGTTTCTTACGCCAGTTCTTCTCAGGTCAGTGGCTTTCCATCCGAACCGGTGGTAGAGTTTTTTGACAATCAATAAGTAAGTGTATGCTTCTATATTGAATGAAGATATTTGACTTTGACTTTTAAAATCAGTCATAAAACCCATGAGTTAACATTGTCTATCGAATTGGTTTGAGTTTGCCGGTTAAATTTCTAGTTAATCTGTTGTTGTTCGGTTGAAGTTGTTGCACCTCAACTAGACAGCATTATCTCATACTATGGTAAATTTTAGTAAAAAATTATGTTTATTTGTATTATGTTTCCTCTAACTCATCAGAGTCATGTTAAAATGCTTCTTCTGTTATTTACAATCAACCAGGTAGGAATATAAAATTTGACTCATACACTGGTTATTTTTTACGTACATACACATATGTATTATAAATAAGAGAAAAGCATGGTTATTCACCCAAAGAATTAATTCGAAGGTGTAGAGAATGAGGAGAAAATAGATGTAGAGGCGAGTGATGTGTGTATATATTATGGACGTCAGTGATCTATGTAGGCGTGTATATATGTACGTGCTAGAAAAACTTTGCATGTGTCCTGTGGTTACATACAAACCCAAACCCTCGGGCTACGATAAACTTATTATTTATGTTATTTATGTTAAATGATAACACACTCCGGTAATGAATTGATCGCTCCAGGCTCTTTCAATCGGAGTTCTTATACTGTATTTTTAATGAATTTATGTCAAACTCCTTATTTAAAAAAAAAAAAGCCCGCTGAGTTTCTTTCGCCGGTTCTTCTCAGTACAGTGGCTTTCTTTTCCGAACCAGTGGTAGCGTTTTGACTATCAACAAGTGAGTGTAATGCTCCTATGTTGAATAAAGACATTTGATTTTGATTTTGATTTATTTTTAAAAAAAAAAAAAACAAAGTCAACGTCTCACACAACGTTTTCTAAGGCCACTTTGGTTATCGTTGAAATGATCTGTTATTATCATTATTCACTTAGAGAAATGTACGTCCGAAATCTCTGTGAACGTCACTGTCTGTGTATACTAGCGTCACTAGTGTATAGATGCGTGTGTATACACGCTAATGCGTCGTAAACGCCGTCTACGCGATCGACCGAGGGCCGCTGCCGACTCCCGTTTGCATATCGCCGCACGAAAGCCGCTCCGAACGAACTTATCATGTTTATTGATTGACACGCCAGTAATTCAACCGTCGCGGACGCCGGCCCGAGCCACGAGCGGCGGCGTTTCCCGATAGATCGTGTCATATTAAAATTCAAATATCTTTATTCAATGTAGGAGTGTTACACTTGCTTAGTAATTGTCAAAATACTACTACCTAAAATACTACTACTAAAAAGCCAATGACCCGAGGAGAAGCGGCGTAATAAACCGGGACATTTTTTGGCAATATTTTACAAAAATACCATGTTTACTATATATTAAAGTCAACTTAAAAGAGCGTGAAGCGAACGATTAATACCCAAAGTGTGCTATCATTTAAATTATCACTAATTACAGAAATAAAAATGTAATTTACATATAATGACACACAATGTACACTTTTGTGTGTCGTTATATAAAAATTAAACTTAAATTACAATTCAAAGCCAAACGGCGGTAACTTTGGCACAATTTGTAGCTATAGTATATATTTCACATCAAATTAGGTCCCAGTACGTGTTACGCTAACGCTTACTTGTTTTGTTACTACAGATAAACTATTTTTGAGCAGTCTGTACACTTCATCGATATACTCGCCATTTACAGGGCTTTTAGGCTTGGCAAAGAAATTTTAGGTTGTATTCCACATTTGTAAATTACCTACGAGCCGAAGTGTACTAGTGCATCATAAAGTGTGACAGGTACGATCACCCATAAACGAGGTACAGGCTAGACGCCCTAAGCGTTCTGCTACCTCAAGCCCCTCAAGTAAAGGTTTAAGACCCTCCTCGTCCTCCTCCTCAAGGCCAACAGTGAAAAAAGACACGAACGAATACGATTGATGACTGAGCGAATCGCCGCCGCCCGTGAGTTGAGGCACGCGTGAAAATTCACAGGTCCCGGTTAACAGTTCTTTGTTTTGGGCGATAAGTTAGTTTTCGGGCGCTACATCGCTCAGGAGGGGCCGCGGGCGCACGCTAAATGCCCCAACAGACCTCTGGCGACCGGACTTTATGGCTGGTGGTTTATAACTCTCCGACCAGGCCACCTGTTTCGCGGGCAATAATTGAGGTGTCCAATCGATGTTCATTAATGTCGTCGCCTGTGTGAAAAGGCAGTGGTGACGTTGCAAGCTGTCGAATGACTCTACGACACACGGCATTTCGCCTCCCGTCACGATTAATGTAAAAAAAACCTTCAGAAACGGGGTGAAAGTACCCTTTGTCAATCTGTGACTTACAAATTGGCTTATTGGGATGAACATTCACAATCACAACCTGCCAATTGGTATGGTGCATAGTGAACTTGTCTCTCGGGCCGCAGGGTGTTGGTTCGATCCCCACTAATGGAAAAATATTTGTGTTTTTCTAGCATCCGGGTGTTTAAAAGTGTTTATTAATTAAAGGAAAAGTATGTCTGACTAAGTTCATCGGTGTGTAAAAATAAGCTCTGTTCTGATTGCTTGCACTCTTAAAGTAAAACGGATCAATAATCACACTTTCGCGCTTTTTATATTAGCAGTGATAATTTGAGTGCGTTTGTTCCATACGCTCTATTCCACCGTGGCCTAATCAGCGCGGGCACCGAACCGCCGAGTCGGCACCGATCGGCGTTACCGATGGCACTACCCTGACGGGCCCTTTCTGTTCCAGGCCGAACGGGGGCGCACCGCAATAAGAAAAGACAAAGGCGCGAAGGAGCACGCGACCGGCCGCAATCGATTCGGCCGGGCCCGACGGCGGCCGTGCCTTCGCCCGCGGTTGCTTTTTTAAAAATGGCGCGCCCGCCGCTCGAGATTGGCGCGCGGCGCGACGCGTGACGCGCCATTATGCGCCCGGTGTGAGAGCGGCGCGGACGTCCGGATGCACCCGACGGGCGCGGCCAGCCTGCCCGCCGCACCGGAGGCGGAGGTGCAAGCTATGCACTCGATGGACTGGCTCTTCAAGAAGGAAAGGATATACCTCCTAGCGCAGTTCTGGCAACAGGTAATGCGGTAACCACCCGGCCGCCCACTCGAGACGTTCCCCCAATCCGTACTAACTCCGCAACAGGGGATAATGTAAAAAAATTACAAGTCATGTGTATCTATTTTGGTGTCACGTTTAATTGCCTCATACATTTTAATAGCAAAAACAGATTCGTCCAAAAAGTAATCATTTTAACCGCTATGAATTGTTATGACAACAGCTTCAAGATTTAATAACAAGGAATCAACTACGATATCTATTACAGTGTTAATTCCACGGTCGTATATGTACAATTTACTAACTCAAATGTTTACCAAGGTAAAAGTAGTAAAACACAAACAAACGCACAATCTATTACCTACATGTATATTTTACTTTTACTTTTATATATAGTATAGTTGTATCTGATCCTAGTCATAGAACGTTACTAAAAATAGAACATTGTGTTTACTTCCAGATAATAATCCAAGTATAAGGAATTGTGGGAGTACAATAAAAACAAAAGCTCCTACCATGACAAAAAGAACAAATGATAGAGAAGTGAAGCATTTAAAAGACTTAGATACGCTAAAATCCACTGTAATATTTGATTAGTAAATAATCTCATCAGTCTAAGCATTAACAATCGGGGAATTAACAGAAATCCGTGCGATCGAAACGTGATAATCGCCCGCCGAAATCACTAGGGAGACCCCGGTCGAACAAAGCGAATCAATTATTAGTTTGATATAAGTCCGCAATTAACCTGAGACACCAAAGGTCCTGGATACGGAACAATTACGGCCATTGTTATCGCAATCCCTGGAATATCTGATCGTTCAGTTTCGACTACACGATTAATTCGGAATTTCTGTTCGATAACAGTATCTTGCTGAATTGAATATTAATGTAGATAAGAATTGGACCTTTGTGGTTCAACGGCTTCTGCTGCTTCACGAATGGCTAAACTCGTCTGGGGAAGTACCGCCAGCTCGCAGAGGCATGGCCACTGCTAAATGTAGACATCTTTTTCGATCTGTGAGTGATGGTGGCTTACAAAGTACTCGGATGGATGTAAAATTGACCGTCTTCAAATTCTCCTATGAAGCTCCTTATAGCTCCTTTTAATTTCTTTAAAATTTGTAAAGAAGAAGTAGAAGAAGAGGGTATTTTCGGTGCATTCCTTAGAGAATTAATGTTATAACCTTGGAGTTTTGATAGATTGCAAAATATGAGGATTTAACAATTACTTGTTTATAAATGTCACTGTTTATCCCATCCAAAAACCACAAAAATGTACGAGTTAAAGTTTCACCTAGAGCGCAGAGACTAGCGCTAGAAATAAAAAATATTTTTTTAAAAAATGTTTGCATTCTTAGATCCCAACACAAATTCTGAAAGAGCAGATAAATGGCTTCCTGAGAATTCAATCGTTGATTGGAATAGATTGGATGGCTTCGATATAAAAAAGACAATAGAAAGCAATAAACATGCATTAGTACTCGCAATCCCCTGATGGTCTGAGCGCAATTATAATAAATGCATAGATCCATATCGGAGTGTTGGAGTCTCGGGGAGTTGCGAAAGTCTGCAGAGTGCCTCTAATCGCTTCCATTGAAACTCAAGGTGCTGGTGTGACGTAACATCGCTTTGAAGAAACCAACAGCATGCTTTTTTATAGACACTTGTATTGGAATTCAGGTATCCTCTTTGTAAGGGCTTTTCGTGAATCCGCGGTGCCAATTTTCGTTTCGAAACACGTGAAAAATTATCTGCATGTCTACGTTTGATGTCGATTGTGGAATGAAAGCCTCTACAGATGTCAGTAGTCGGTCAAACCCGTGGGTTCTGGCACCGCTTCTGCATTCACTGAAGCTTCAATAGTCTCGGGACTGACAGCGTTAACATCAGTTAATACAAGAGGTGTCAGTAGAACATTCTGGAGACGTCATTATTGTTATTGTCCCTTTTAATATTTTCCTCTAGATAATGAAAACATAATCATTGAACTAAAGTTATAAAATAATAAAACACCTGCTGCTGCAAATAATGCTAGTTAGTAACATCGTGATGTACTAATGGTTTCATTGGTACATCACTCGGAACTTATTTATCTGGAAAATTTCTGCAAACTCACACAACTTACATTTCGAGAATCGAACCTAGCACGCGTCGATACAACCCAGCGACTGAGCCTCCGAAACGTAAGTCACAACAACGACAAATAAGAACAATGGCCGAGCTATAATAAGCCGAACGCCGAATAAATATTCATCCGCCCTCGGCTAGCGGCCGTCGCGGGCGATTCGCCCCGCCGATACCGCGTTTCAATGCCGCTGCCCGATAGTATTGTGAGCGCGGCCTTATATTGATTAAGAGGCGTATTTGCATTGGAAATTTACATGCTCCGCGCGGCGACTTATCGAAGGCACGGATGCCTCGCATAAAGCCAATGCAACATGGCCGGTCTCCTCGGAAATGATTAACTCCGCAGCAGAACGGGCGCGTGGGACGGTGGCGTTTGGCAACCGTCCACCGTTCACCGCCACCGTCGGCTTTTTCCCCGAATATCGATGGCAAATGATCGCCCGCGAGTGGCTAACACCCGATTAGTCATCGCAATTACCGACAGCTCGTAACGGAGGCCGTTTTTTGCAGCGAAAACACACGATTAACGCCAACACATCAGATCTAAGCCGGTCTAAATTAAGCAACGTTGTTGCTCAACAGAGGCTCGAATAAATAATAGCGATATACAATTACGTGTCAACACGAAACTGTTCAGTGTTCCGCGAATGAAATTGAACAGATTCTATTTTTGAATTTTAAAATACGATACAAGAATGTGAACAAACTGGAAATATTCATTTGATAAATTCGCATAAATAAAAAAGAAAACGATTCTAAATTCGAATTTCCGAACTCGATTTAAAAGTAAAATCAGAAAACAAACAAGGCATTCTATTAATATAAATAAAAGAATATTGAATAAGCGATTCCAAATTCAAACATCCGAATTCGATTCGATTATGAAAACGAACTGTTCGATTAATTGGATATTATTGGTGGTTCGTGTGCATTAAGCTCGCACCGGGCTCCCGGTCGCGGCGACCTCGTCAATGGCAGCAGACCATAAAATACCGGCCGCCGTAATCTCTATCAAAACCAATACCCGATGATTGCACCATTAGCCACCCATCTCGGGAGAGGGCGGCGTTTAAAACCGCATTAAGAAGGGAACGGAGGCCCTCCGTTGGTGCCCGTTAATAAAACTAACAATTAACGTCTATAAAACGTCCCGGACGGCGCGATCTCGCGTCGGTGTCGTTTATTGTGCGCGGAATAGGGATCCGTTCGATCGGTTTACGGTTTATTATCGGTAATTCTGTTTGTTCGCTATACGATCGTTTAATTACAGTTTTGGTAGTCGGCCTCAAAGTCTTTTTTTTTTTTCTTCGAACAGCCTTTTCCCGCGTCAATAAGCCCCGTCGAAACTAGATTGACTTTTTATTGCATTAAATAACCTTCAATAAAGAATGAATGTATTGAACAATCGACATAACTTACTACCTGAATTCATAGCTTCGGTTCTGACACGTAGACTGTTAGTTCGGACGGCATATTCGGCTACTGTACTTTAAAATTGATGCTACCTTTGATCGCAAGTTTGCAAGTGTTTACTGAACTTTTCATATTTTGACTCTTATGTTCTGTTGCACTATCTATAACACTAACTTATACATAATGGTGTGCTGCTAATCAAAACCGTCTGTACAGTTCTTAGGGATTATTCCGCCTCCTCCCCGTTGCGGTCTTCACAACAACGCATTAAATTTTATAAAGTAACTGAGGTGTGTAGGACCTAACAACGTTTGCCTACACCGCCGGGCATATCAGCGACACTGAAACAGCATCGAACATTATCGTTCCCGGCAAATGAACGTAACCACAAGGAATATCGCCGGGATGAGTAGACGCGAACGCTGCCGATACAAGGTCGGCGCGTCGCAATTAATCGTCCGTTGCCGGGATTTCGATCCGATCGGCCGGGATTAGCGTACGGGTCCCGGAATGCGATCGGTTCCCACAGCGGCCGGCTCCGGGAATCCGTCGCTATGCAGCGCCCAAAAAAGTCCGCATGCTTTCCCATGGGCCGCGGGAACCGAGGCGAAGAAAGCCGCTAGGCATTTATAGTAAAAAGAGTAAAGGCAGCCTATGTATGTCCCACTGTTGGGCAAAGGCTGTATAGAGATAACACCCTCTATTATGGCATAATCCATGATCTCACCGCGGATAAGGACATATCGCTTATCGTCGAACTGTTGTTGAGACATTCTTGTTATTCTTTCGAGACATATTTTTACACTACGTTATTAATCCCAGTGTCAAAAGCTTGTACTATGGGTACTAGATATCACTAAACATACTTAAACGTAAATTTCTTTTGTAAATAAATGCATATTATATATAAACACCCAGACACGATCTAATATTTTTCCAGTAGTGGTTCAAACCCACACCCTCTGTTGCAAGAGGCAGACTCACTATCAACTACGCCAATTTTAAAAAACATTAACGATTACCTAAGCTGTGGTAGCAACACGCAACAGTCTTCGCCATTGCAAAGTTGGCAGGTATGTCCGAGGAAGTACCACGACCTCACAGAAGACCGGCGCGAATTGAGAATGTGACAATTCTGCGTTTCGTCTGACGAGTGAGATAGCCGGAGCCCTCTTGACAACGCATCTGCAAGCCTACCGGTGTAGCAAATGTCCACGGGCGGCGGATATCACTTAACATCGGGTGCCGCCAGCTTGTTTGCCACTTTGTCACAAATAAAAAAAACAAATATCCAACCAAGATCTACAAAGCCTTCGGTCCCATTAGGTCCCGTAAACGGAACACGGACGAAACGCGAGCCCCGGACCGGTGTTTAAAAATCGATTGCGCTTGCACAATCGTCACTGACAAATGGACGGGCCCCACAAAAAGCGCCATCGCACCGCCAAAGCTGTCGATGCTCCTCCGGCTAATCGCGGCCGCTTTTTGCCCGACTGATCGATGGGCATCGCCTAATTCGATCGCCGCCCCACCCACAGACTAGGAAGGCGTTCCGCGCCGCGTCTAGCCCGCAACCGTTATTAGTTTTTTTTAGGCTGCGCTATTTTAGAGAGCACGACAATCGAGCGGACGACAGCATCGAGAGGATTGACGAAACACTGGCCTAAGCAAGTGATAAAGATTAACATTTTTAGTAAAGAGGTCGAAAAGTATTCCGCCGCTGCTGGAATCGAACCCACGTCGTCCGGTCAGACGCTTTAACCATTAAGCTAAACGGCTGATTGTTTTCGTCTCTTATCTACATTGTTCTTTCGCATTTCAAACAATGCGTGGTGCATCTACAGTTACATAATTTACAGCATACAAACAATTTCGAATAACGTTTTGCAACGATAATTCGAACTAGGGAAAAAGGACGTAAGAGTTCTAGAGCATTCTTTACCCGACTTTTCTCGAAGACATAAATATGTAATTTGTGCTATTAGAAAAACGTTAATACACAAAATCAGCCACAAACTCAAAAGACAAGGCAAATTGTAAATCGTAATAGATTAGAATCTATTTCGATTTACAATATTCATTTAATAACGCATAGCTATTTTAAATAGTTAGTCATGAAGATCTTTCAATAATTTTTTCATTAAACAAATACGTGCAATTGTTTATTCGAATTCGGCCATCTCTATCAATTAAAAAGTTCATTCCGAACGTGACGTCTCCGATGAACTTTACCAATCTAGCTGCGACGATTACGTTTTTACGACTACAGACATTTCCATAGGCGAGAGCACGAACTAATGAAAACATAAAAGAGTCTATAAATTACATATTATATTATGACCAGTAAAAAAGAATCGATTATGATCTTTGTCTAATCGTTTTTTTTTTATCTATTATCTAAGGTTGTTACTTCGTTGCGCGTCTTCGCGTTGCAGAAATCGTTGACACATTTGATCGATAGTTGTACCTTCATAGTTAGGTATGCGAAGTCGTCACTAATCCGAGCATAATTTCACAGCGAATCGGCCGTGATCTCGGAAACGCGGCGAACGCCTCAATAATTTAATAATACAGATTACGGCCGGTAAAAAAAATATAAAGAATCGATTGCGGTTGATGACGGCAACACCGGCGCGGCGGAATCATCAAGCGCTGATGGTTTTTTAATGATATTTTTCACAATCGGCCCGATCATTGATGGTTATTAGGTATAGGCGGACGCCTCGAGACACGAAACAACATCTTCTGCGGCGAGTTTCTTGTAAGTCTACGCGATTATCGTATTTAATGTACGCCCCGCAAGATTTGTCCCCTCTCACGCGATGCCACACGCGATTGTAACACTTGTTGTCAGGGAATTAAGACCAAAATCGTATCAATTCGCGTGTTCAAACTCTAATAACTATCAGGTAGATAAAATTATCCTATTCTTAGCATATAAGGAAACAATCGAAGATTTGTTCTAGGTAATAAAGAACGAAGCCATAACCGAAACGTATAATTATATATGTCGAGATGTGTTTTATTACTTTAACTTTGACGAAAGCTGTCGACCGATTTCACGAAAAAGTTCGCGCGGAGCTCTGTTCCTTAGCAACCACGCTAATAAATCTAACTGATTTTGAAGAAGACTAAAGGACGTTTAATATTCTTCGAAAGAAGCTGTCAAATGCTTTCGCGCCAAAAGTTTGCGTTGCTAAGCGACTGTGGTGTTTTAAATGTCGATACGAGAGCTGTCAGTGGGTTTCGCGCCAAAATTAGCTGATTGAGGACGCAACTATCCCGGGAGGGCGACGGGAGCCCGGAGTTTGGCAATTAGCATAATCTTAGCCGATTGCGGGCTAGCGCCGCCGCGTGCTACTTTTGAGATATTTGTTTGTAAACATCGTAGTGAGGTTTGATGGTTTGCGAATTCATTCTTGTATCGTTTTTGTACTGAGTTCATTGTTACTAATGTCCAAGATGGGAGAAATGTTTGTTTGTAATGTATTTTTTTTTTTTTATGGAGAAAAGGGGCATACGAGCAGGAGGCTCACCTGATGGTAAGTGATTACCGCCGCCCATGAACACCTGCAACACCCGAGGGCTCACAAATGCGCTGCCGGCCTTTTAAGAAAGAGTACGCTCTCTTTTTGAAGGTTCCCAGGTCGTAACGGTTCGGAAAATGTGGTTCCACTGTGCGAGGCAAGAAATGCCTTAAAAATCGCGCTGTTGTGGAACGTTGGACATCGAGGTGGTGTGGATGAAATTTTTAATGTATCCTCTCTCCCTCTTGGACTTTAGTCAGTAATGTAATGTAAACCCCGAAAATATCCTTTTAAGATTGTTCTCGGTTCTCTATTGTGTAATGATAAAAAGAGCAATTAAAGATAACCTAAAAACTTGGAACAAATAAAGCTTCATCATAAAAGGCAATATCGAAACCGTCAGATCTTACGTAAAGTTATGACATTGCTAATGTGCACTAAGACCTACTTTTTACGTTGCCTGCAGCCGCTAGCATATCACGCGATATATCGATACATCGAGTAATGATGATTGATCGTAACCATCATCGAACTATATACATCACCGCCTCCCCAACCGACGGCTGCGTCGGTGAGTTTCGGCTTTAAGTTCCTTTGTTTGAATTACCTTTGTATTTCGTTAAAACTAACGCGTTTACGTAACGGTTTAAGTTGCGTTCAGTGCGAAAAATTCCGAAAAATAAACAAAAGTTAAAAATTAAGGTTAAATTTGACACTTACAAGTTTTAGTAAAAGTCTAAATTTGCCCATATCTTTATACACCTAATAGGGACTATGGATTTCAGTATCTGGTATAAATTTCATCTAGGTCCACCCGTTCCTAAGAAAAAGGTGATTATTTACCAATTTTATTATGGCGACATAATGGGTAGGTACGGAACCCTCGGCGCCTGAGTTCGACTCGCACTTGACCGGTTCTATTTAATAATTGCTACGGATATGTTTGCCGAAGAGAAACTGGTGTGTTCACCGGATGGTTGAACATCCCAAGCCTCCCTTACGGCCGTGGTCTTCGCGTCTTACAGTCTGACGTGCTTATGCAAGCTGTTGACGCTTGGTGACTCCGTGGCGCAGTCGCCAAGGCTTCGGCGCCGTGGGTCGTGAGTTCGATTCCGCACGGGACAACTATTTGTGTGACCCACAGATAGTTGTTTCGCATCTGGGCGTTTGTCAAAACGCCAATCCAATAATCAAAGGGGTTAATTTGACAGCGTAAGCCAGATTTACCACCATTGTTTTACTAATTATATCTCATTTCGTAGGTTTAGATGCACCTTGAGAGTTTTATTGGGGGATTTGCGTTTGTGCCCGATTTGCGATGACAGGTTTGTCACCTGTCACGATAACATTAAGTAAAGTTGGTTAGGTTAAAGTACTTTCTTGATATGGCAGTGCCATGATGGAGCTTCTGTTGTTTCAGATGACTCCGTGGCGCAGTTGCCAAGGTATTGGCTTCCGCGTTGGGGGTCGTGAGTGCGATTCCCACACGGGACAACTATTTGTCTGACCCACAGATAGTTGCTTTGCATCTGGGTGTATGACCGCGTTAAATTTGTTTATAAAATGCCCTTACAATACGATGTTATGCTAAAGTAAAGGCAATGTTTAAAAAAAACTTGTTGAATGGGCTGGCCCATCCGAGTGCTTTGATTTCAGAGAAATGAGGTAGCCGAGGTTCACCCCAATTAATTACGAATGGCCGTGAACGGTCCCAATCTATCTATCCTTCAGATTTCGAACATATATAAATGTTAACGCGAGTCGCGAGTCGAGTATGCGCACCAATTAAGCCCCGTTCGACGTCCAACAAATGGGCGACGCTCGCCGACGTAGAGGGGCCAAGCGGACCAAGAATCCCGGGCGTAAGAAATGCGCGTCCGCGGCCGACGGACGGCGTCGATTAATTACTAATCGATACCGGTGCATCGGTGGCGTTCACAAATGGACGCCGCGCGAGATTTACGATCGCATTACGCGGCGTGACACCGAAGCCGCGTCGTCGCGAAAGGTTAATTGGTGGCTTGTCGCGCCGAAAATAGCGGGCCGTTTTTCCTCCGAATGGCGCATCACTAGGCCGGCCCAACATGGCCGCCCGCGACGGCTGCTTAGCGAAAACGCGTCGAACTGGTAAACATCGTGTCCCATCACTGTCGCGTGCAGTCGGAACGGCGTATAATTTCACGTGGAATTATCTCGAAAGCCCGCTCTCAACGCTGGCAGTATTATTTATTGCGGTTTTAATTCCGATAATAGTCAATAAGGGCCCGATAAGTAATTTTATAGGTCGTAAACGTAATGCCAGAACGCTATAACAGCCTTTCCCGCGTTAAAACGGCGTAAACAGACGAGTGCATGATCGAGTTAATGATATTTTCAGCGCTTTTTGAATTCCGCTCCGCCCGATAACGAGCCGTCGATGCATTTATTGATAAAAAACCATTTTTGTCGCGACGAAACTGAGGTAATTTTACTTTCGCGTGTCACTCACGCCGTCGATCTTTTGTCGTGTGTTGCCTAATAGAACCTTCTAGACTGTTTTCTCTTCATTAAAAGCTAATATAATTGACATCGAAGATGTCATACTTCCAGTTTTTGTTTAAAAACAGCTGAACGGTAAAAACAATGGTCTCCTTATTAGATAAAGAATAACCTACAGAAATACAAGTACAAAACTCATATTATCCGATAAGGATAATGCAATTACGATGAGGAGTTAGGATGTAACAAAAAACCATACTGATAGTAATTTTGCACTTAACGTAAAACGCAGTATGAATTCGTTTGATAGTTTTTTTACGGGCATTCGATTAGCGATTTCTTTTTATCGTTGTTAACAACGTATTAAAATTTGTTTTCATAAAATGACACGCATTCCAAATATCGAAATTAGTGATGAGGATTAGTTGCAAAGTGTAAAAAACAAAAGGGTTCGGCGCAAGCGAGAGCGGTCCGTGAGCCATTGTGAAAGCGCACAAATTTACTATTCCTCTAGATTTTATCGTTGCCAAACGAAAGACGACTTAGCGTCTTAGCAGCAAAGGTGATGAAGTCATTGTTGTGACTGCAAAACGTTATGCGAGGAGCAAACGCTCCTCGCATAACGTTTTGACGAATGTCATAAGGCGAGCCTTTTTGACAGATTTCCATCGAACCTTCGTATGTAGCGTCCGCAAAACAGTTTCACCCCTATTCCCAAATTATTTAATATTAGCCGAGTCATTCTTAAGAACGTATTATAGTCCCATTTTTGATATTGGCCAGGTGGCGAAATATACATCTAAGTTTCTGTCAGTTAGATATATGATAAAAATTCACATTAAGAATTAACTTTATAATGAAGACATAAATTATATGCTTTCAGTAATAAATATTAATATTTTTATCATACTACTACTATAGAATTGGAAGATTGAAATTGAAATTGAACTACCCTAGCAACATACGTTATTATTGGCAATATATTATATATATTGGCAACATTCATTTAGGCAAAATCAGGCCGTTCTTATAGTGTTGTATATCCATTAGTGATATAGCTATAGTTTATTATAATAAAATATTATCTATTTTAAATACTTCCACTGTCTTTTTTCAGCACCGATACAAAACAGCAATAGTATATAAATTGAGCAACAAACCAAACTAAAGAATTCGAAATCATTCGAAACCCATAGAATGGACACTCAACATTCCATAATAGAAATGTATACGACATATTTAAATACTCCGGGATTAAAACGGCGATTGTGTTAGAGACGAGATATTCGTAACATTTATAGATGGATTCCCGCGTCGTATTCACACCTTCATAATTATGTCTCTTAATCACGGGCTTATTTACTGCCATTGATGTTTGCATATAATTGACAGAAAGTAATTTGTTCATGTTTCAGCGGGCAATAATACGTATCAGATTAAGATTGTAAAGTTTCAACTCGATTCCTGCCAAACACTTCCAAACCGATAGTAGTTCCGTCCGTTGACACTCGATCTCTTCCGTGCTGTTAGCACATTGTTTTCGATTGGCTTCGAAATTCAAAAATGCGATCCTCAATATAAAAAAAAAACGAAGACGCTACGGGAAGACGCATTATCAAGCTAAACGAATAAGACTGGCCGCGTATAAACTCTAAACGGCTGGCTCGAGTTTTTTTTTTCTTTTTTTTTTTTTTTCGCGGACGCTACCGCGCGCGTTCTTCCATTGTCCGCGGTTGATACGCATCGAGTTTGAAATTGCTCGCACGCTTGCCTTTACAAGCTACTTGTGTCTGCTGCAATACGTGAACGACTTTATAATGGTATTGCCGGTCGTTTTAGCATAGATTGAAAACTAAATACGAGTGTTCATTTAAAACCTCTTGATAAAAGTTTCTTCGTATTGTCTCAGCGAACATCGATTTGGCAAATAAACTTTACGCGCAGTAGTTATAAAACGATTATTATTTCTTATGCGAGTTAGAGTTAACAATAGACAAGTTTTTCCCCATAAAACGCTTTGATCGCACAAATGAAAGCATTTTGTTCACGTCCATAGAGATGTTTGCATTTCGCACGCGTACGTTAGTGTTTCATAAAACTGTGCTCATCTAATCAGTCTATTGTACAATCAAAACCCGGATGCATTCCTGATTAGTACACTACTTTTACTTTACTAAAACCTCCCGGTAGTCTACTGTTGGGAGAACAGACCGGCTAGTCCGTGAAAGCAACACGGCTTACCTCACGTAAAATGACCGATACCCACCTTCTTAAAAGCTCTCATCGAATGACAGTTCTACGAGAATGCTTTTCAGGGGTCGTGCCCATCAAACCGGTGTTAGTTTTGTTTGCCACCGCTCCGTGAAAAAGTCTCACTCAAAAATCAAGCCATGGAAGCGTAAACTAAATGTTTAACGTTTCCCGAGATTACAATAACGATTTATCGCGTCGTACGACGCTATCCCGTTCTTATTAATAACCGAAACGACACGAATCGGAATGTCCGTTGCGAAAGCACCTCTCTAAATCCGCGCACAAAAAACAACGGATTTCCTAATTCCCGCCGCACCGGGGCAGTGACGCGCCGCGGCAGCCGTCCGCGCGTTCGGATATCGGAACGCTGCTTCGCGCCGATCGCGATTCGAAATTAGAATGCGCGCGTATCCGAACGCTTCCTAGCGGGCGCATCGAAAGCGGCGATTAGTTTTAAGTGTCGTTCGAACTTTAAAAATGTGTCGCCCGTTCGTTCGGCTTCGGATTTTAAATATAAACGCGGGAGAATGCGTTCCATTTCGACCGCCATTTTACGACGCGCGCCGGTTAATGACGCTCGTTACGAAACTGGCCGGTGCTTCGAGCCGCGCTAGCGTGCTGCTCCCGGCGTTGCTCTATGTAAAGTGACAACCTTTACGTCAAACGTGTTCCTTTAAGCAATAAGTTAAGAGTGAATTCGGGAATAAATTATTTGTTTTATAATGCATTCGTACAGTACGCTCAATTCAGTTCAATAGCTTTCTCTCAAATGCGTACTGTAGTAAACAATGTAGACTTAAGTGGTAAACTCAGTTGTTAATTAAAAGCACATATAGGTACCTACACTTCCTTTGAGACACGGACATTGTAATACTATCCAATTTTCCCCACCACAACTGCATCAGCGGTGCAGCCCTACCGAGCCGCGGAGTATAGGCAGAACGACCAAATGCAATACCGGCACTCCTCTTCCCCCCGCGACTCCTCCTTGGTAGCAGAAGACAGAGAGAGTGGCATCTCCCCCACCACCCTCAACCTGTCCCCTGCACCCTCCAGCACGCATCCAGAGTGGGCTCAATGTGCCCACTCGGAGCGGCCTCCTCGGGCAGGCCCGAGGTGTAAGGTCGGCCCAATGTAGTTTCCTATTAGCTTCGCCGTGGGTGACCAAGTCACGGCTAGTAAGCCCCTGCGCCACGTCAAGGCGGAAACCCGGTCTGAGGGGTTCCCCGACAACCTGCCCATTCGTGCAACAGCAAAGACTTTTGCCTAGCCCTACCACGGTCAATTAACTGCCAAACCCGCCACCGTGTCACACGCAGTGTTGCCCTAAAATCGGCCCGTAAAAAACGTTGCTCGTTTAACGCCTAATCGGATAATTCATACGGTATTTCCAATTAATTATTAACCATCAGCCCGTTCGCTCCTTCGTCTCGGGCCCTCGGACGTTTTAATGCCTAGAGAGATGCCCTTGACAGTGGGACGACGGGGCTCTAATCGCCGACTTACTTCTGACCACCTGAGCTCAGGTGAACGCGCCACGCAGACATACGTCCCAACAACAGTACGCATAGCAATTTTAACCAATCTGATGAACATAGTTGGTACTCGACTGGAGGAGTAGCATGGCCTCACATAGCAGCGACCTGAAGTAAGGTCGACTTCAGGTGGCTGCTATGCGGGGACGCGAATGCTTTCGCGTTTCACCGTTGATTGTGGTGACTAGGAGCCCTGTTAAAGGCTGACAATAACCGAGCCGCTGTGCATTGACAGCAGTCACTAACCTCCTTATGAAAGATCGTCACCAATCCTAAAAATAATGAAATTGAATGTTAGTCGAAGTAAATCTTTTTGCTTCGTCTAACGGGCTCAGCGAACCTAGATATACCCTCGATAAATGATCGAAGGAGTATTGTCAGCGTCGACAGCGGAAAACCTGAATCCAAACACGCATGCTCGATGCACCATGATATGGAGATTTAAATATGTAGGTTAATTTTCGAACAAAATAAGTTGTAAGTGAATTTTTAAATTTAGAATTTTTCAAAGAAACTTATTTAACAACACTGTTGTTTAACAGCGAGGGAAGAATAAAATATTATACGTCACCTTCGATATAACACCATCTGCGTATTGTTACAAAATGTCGCAGGAATTTCAAAATACATCTCTGACGCTTTCCCGTTCGAAATTAATGTTTATACGAAACTATCGCATTCGGTCGTTAATCACGAATGTTTTCAAAGACAATGTTATGTGGAAAAGAGAGAAATTCGAAAATAATAAATTGCAGCGTTCCATTGACACTCACCTAGTTGGCACGAGTTGTGACGCGCGGAGCCGAAGCCGTGGCGGATTTGAAAAAAGAACTATGCATGATTGAGATCGTCGAAAATCGTTGTTGATGGCCAGCCTTTCATTAATTTGGCCGTTGCTAAAGCTCCTACAGACCGCTTCTTCGGTCGACTTAAATTTTAAGTCAACGGCTTTCGCTCTGCTGGAGTCAATTCCGCGTCACTGCTTAATATAATGAGGTATATTAGTAGAGCTATTAATTAATACTGCACCTTCTTAACAATGAAGCTCTTTTCTTAAAACGTTCGAAATTTAAAATCAAAATAGAAGGCATGAGCCTCCCTAAATAGTACGAATGAACAGTTAAACTTCGAAGCATTGTCAGTTTTCATCTAAGGCGGTCCGGTCCCTCCGCAGCTCTTGTTCGATTCGATCGCGTTCGATTTTCGAAACGGCCGCGCGTTCGGAAATAGCGCGCGACAGCTGAAAGACGACATCGGACTTTTTTTTATAGCCCGCTTTCGTGTTTATGAGCGCTGCATGAGTTTTTATAGATTTCATTCTCCCTCTTATCTAATGAAAGTCACTCCGTGTTCCCGATCGGACGCGCTCATCTATTTCTGATTGGAACTGTAGGCTTATATTTAGAGGCGACGTTTTACGACGTCCGAGTGATCCGAGTTCCAATGATATCTCGCGTACCAATTAAGATATTTTATTGTTTTTATTCACTTTGTTTTTTATTTAGAAAAAAAAACAACAATCTGTAAAGAGGTTCTATTTCTAATCTACACTGCCAGTACATTCCTCACACTATGCGTCCTGCGATTTCGTTCATTACGTACGTTTTTCCGTCACCGAATAATCATCGTAAGCGTAAAGTAAATAAAATTCAATAAAATATGTATACAAAAATCGAACGGAAAATACCACAGCCGAATTCATTCAATTGGATCCATTCGCTTTATTAGATCATTCAATTGCCGATCGATAAAATAAGCCATATCCTTTGCCCCAAACGAGGTCACTTATCGAATGAATCTATAATCGTAATTCGAGATCCGAGCACGTTCAATCGACGATCGGGTTCCGCGCTTCGGTGTTCCATTTTATTAATATAATATAAACAATACAAAAGTGAGAGGGAAAGAAAAAAAAGTTTAAAAGACGCTCCCATTCGAGTCGCGAGCGGAAATCAACCGTCGCGACCGTTTGTTCGAAGTGTGAAAAGATCGATTCAGAATGGAGGGGGTTGCGTTTTTATTGACATGTCGTGTGTTCTTTTTTTGTTTTTTTTTCTCCTTTAGAATAATGACCATTGTCTTAGCGACTAACCCGAGTGCGTTCGGAAATTAAATTCGCTTGATTGCTTTTCAATTTTTTTTTTGTTTTGCTTTGCCGTGGCTGATTTTATAATAAAATGAGTACTAATATTACATAGGTAGACATTGAGGGTAAAAAAATGAAACTTGAATGATGGATGTCAGCTATTCTAACTCTTATCTCTTATTATTTTTGCTACATACGTCCATTCTGATATGTCCCAATAATGTTAATAATTATAAATATTACAATACTTTTTTTTCTATGTAATTATGTTACTATCCACAAATGCCGTATAAAGGTAATAAACATCGACGCAATGTAGTATGGTTTTGGAAGACCAAAAAAAAATTTCATCAGCATTCGTTACTCGATTGGTTGAAATGCTTTTACATTTAGTATTAAATTACGAACCGAGCGGTTTTATGTTATTGAACGGTACATAACTTCTCGATTGCATGTCGTTCTCGCACTCGCTGCCTCCGTATCAATGATGTCATCAAAGCCAGATTTCGCATCGAGGACACGTTGACATGTGTAATTACATCGAAAGGTTCGCGTTTTACACTCCTCAGCATTAGTAATGGCGGCCGAGGATTTTTCGGAGAGGGAACAGGGCGGGGGGGGGGGGGGGGGGGTGCATAAAATACAACTTAACCGTTTCCCGAGCGGTTAATGAAGTCAAATTAGGCGTTTTCGACTTCACATCGCCGGATCGTAAAATGACAGTAAAACGGTCCGGTATTGATCGCCGCCGAGTGAACTATTTTATGTTGTTTTTATTGTTATTTATAGTGGAATAAAAAGGGTTTTTATTAATGTCCCCGTGACGCTCACAGGGGCCGGCCTTTCGTGTATGGTCCACGTGAGCTAATTAAGAGTTTACCATTAACCGCTTGCAGGTCTCTCGGGTGGAAAGTATTGATCTTGCCACGAGAAATACGACTGCAGTTCGCGAGGATGATCTTCCTTCAAGCGCTCGAGCTTTAATCACTCGAATTAAATCGATATCGTCCAATTGAAAATTTTATGCGCGGATATAAAATAATCCGAATGCCATTAAGTGAAATTAACGTCACGGCACTAACATCGACTTTATCGCCCCCGCCCGCATTCCGTCCCGATTGCACGAGCGTTAATTTTAATTTATTTCAATAACAATTTCTTTCCCGATTGCTTACAGTGCGCTGACAATGTGTTTCTTGTTCCAGGTAATGCGATGACGCTGTCTAAATCGGCGGGAAAAGTATGTGTAAAGTTTTTTTTTCGTCGTAAACAATACTGTGAATACGGCCAGCACTATTTAAAAAGTTTTTTTTTATTACCAGCCACGGTAAGTAGCGTAGGGCGTCAGTCATTTCTCGATAATGTTCGAAATTCACAATGAACAGTTCGGAACGAACGCGAAGCAATGGCGATGACAAATTTTTCGGACGGAACAAAACGCGCCCGGGACTGAAAACTTCGGGCGCGAAAATTAATTATTAATTTGTCGCCATCCTCAGTCGCCGGGGGAGACGTGTGCTCCGTTGTCTATTCCCGACGCTGTTGTTGTTTTCTTTTTGTTGCGTTTTCCCTCCGTTCCCGAATTAATATTTTTTCGACGCCTCAATAATGGCGAAGGCAATTTGTATCAATGCTTAGTGTCGTTTGTTATTAATTGCCAGTGTGTTCTGTTATTCAAAAATTTTAAACGACATTAATTATTGCTGTATCACATTTTTATCTCGCAATATGTTATTTAAACTATAACATTCATTTAATTCGGTCATTAAACTACCTACCTACACCTACCTACTATTGTATTTATAGTAAGTATAATAATTTTTACCTAACGCCTGCCTGTCTGGTACTTTAAAAATAGTTAATTGCTATTGGGATATATAATAGAATATTTTAGTCCAGCATATAATCCGACCCATACTTATAAGAATTTCATACAAATCCGTCGAGCTGTTATTGAAGGAATAAACGAAGATTCATCATCGGCCTACATCAGGCCTATCAGTAAAAGAGAAGCTCCTTATTGGTCGACTTTCACAAAGTTATGCTCAATCTCACCTTGACGCGTTGTACCGTCTCTCGGAAGCGCCGCGCCCGCTTAAAAATTGACGAGGAACCACGCGCTACGCATCCGAACTGGGCACACTCAATTGAGCCACCCCGTAGTGAGTGAACATCAAAAGAACTACAGCAGTAGTGATGTACCGAAAGGAAACCGACACTTTTTATTGACACGCAGTCAGACACAGGATGTTCGGTTTTCCAATGAAATGAATAGCGTAATATTATAGTTGGCATCAGTTCAATCTTCACTCACGATACAGAGGTCTCCTTCCTTGTTGATTTGACAATTTACAACAGTAGCATTAATGCAACAAGATTATTACGCGTGAGCTAAGAACAGCAAATGTTGCTTCATAGTAATGAAAACTTTCATATATAAAATAATCTCCATGTTTTTGCCAAATGAGAGCTATTAAAATTTGCAATGAGTTACTAACTCTACAAACACTAATCAGAGACTGTGTTATCCTCAAAAAAGATAATGTTAGAAGATTAATTAATTAATCAAGAAAAGGAAAATAGTCGATGGTTTCGAAAGCATCCTGTATACAGGAAGCAAAGTGTAAAATGTATTAGCGTCGTAGCGGCGGCGTCGAAAAGTTGTCGATATCGAATTGAGCGACAACAGCCCCCGCGTAATAAACCGGCACGCCCCGAGACGTGTTCCGATTTTAGCGTTTCATTTTCAAGCGGCGGGAAACTACATGACACGTTATGCCCGTCGTTTTTTTTTTTTCTGGAGGGGTGTCTTAAATCGCCAGTGTTGTTGCGGACAACTTTTACCTGTAATTTTAGTATAACACGCAATGATTGCAATCGAGTAATTCATTTCTTTTACTTGTTTAAATGTTTTGTTTTTTTTTAAACGGCCCGAGTGATATGAGACCAGTATCTTTAAAGTTAGGAAAATACTTTTTTTTGTGCATTGGTATGAGGAACATCGCCTAGTAAAAGTTAACTCGATTTGCTAGTTGTAAAATAAATAACCCATTTGACAATGGAAATTTTCCCTCGCAGTTTGAATTGAAGGAAAACTTATATTTGCTTGTGCATTTTAAAACGCAAAATGAAATTTATATTTGCGCGCCCGATGTTAAGTAACAGCTCAATTCGAGGTTTGGAACATAAAATGCGCCCTCAAAAGGCGGTGAGAACTTTACGCGGAATTTCGGACGTCCGAGCATTTTAATACGCGTATTAACGCACCGTTAGCCGATTGTTCCCGCTCATTACGCGTTTTAAGGAAACCCGTAATTGTCGCGCTACCTTACCAAGCATTTATTATCGTGTCTTGATAATCGTATTTAAATGTATTTATGACATCCTATCTCGAATGTCGACATTTCACGTCGCGTACAGCATTTAAAATATGTATAAAAAGCTGCGAGAAAACGATACGTCTTGTTTCAAACTAATCGCAACAACGCAATCTAAAAACGATACCGAGCCGTGTCGGCGCGCAAACTTCTCCGTCGGATGTTGAAAAAAGCCTCCCAATTAATTAGGAGGCACGACAAAGCGGCCGACTTCGCGGGTCGCGAAGAAAGGCGGATCGGGGCTTAGCGACCGCGGAGGCTCCCTTACACCTCCCGGGCGATGTTTTACAATTCGAGGAAAACGGAACCCCCCCGAGCACGGGTAAAGAGGTGCTTAAGGTGTATTTTTTCCCGCAAACGGATCACGTCCGACGCCGCGACCTAAGTGAGCCATCTTTGTTTCCCGCTCGGCGCCCCCGCAGCGATTTGCGCGCGAAAAAATCCCTCCGAGCGGGGCGGCCATATTGAATCCGCGCGTCTGTTCGGAATTCGAAATCGTTCTGTTTATTTAAAAAAAAGTTAAATTCGAATTCGAACGGGGATGGAGCGCTGGATGTTTGTCATTCCTTCACCTAATGAAATTGACATGACGTGACGTTTATATTTTTTAAAATGCTTGCAGATGTTTACATATGGAAGGAATACTAAGTTATTGTTTCATTCAGATTATCTAAAAACCGAATTGGACTTTCTAACGAAGGGTAGATTAAAAACAAATACACTCCAAAAATTTCCTCTGCTATCCGAACACTCAATTCAAAATGAGGTAGTAGAATAATAACATCAACAAAATTACTGTCTAACAGTCAAGAGGATTGAAAATTACGACTTACTAGCAGTGCTAACTCCGACTGGATACATATTATTATCGTCCTATTCAAATTGAATCGGTTAACAGAGCATTAATGGCCAAATGACTGTCCAAAGCGTACGTCCGCGCGATTCCCAACCGATCGGAGACGACGATCTTGGTGCGCGGACGTGACGTCACGGAGGTCAGGCGGCGTGCACGTGACCACTAGAGCTGCAGCGCAAGTCGACCAATTGGCCGCCATTATCCGATAATACAGATCAATCCGGCCTGATTGCATAGCCAATCGTTGGCCAATTTGAGCCGATTTAGCCGCCGCGGCCGATGGGCCCCGGGCCCGCTCCCGTGTGCCTCAATTGACGCACGATAAGCTGCGGCCTAGATTTTGTTGTTTGCCATTTTTCTGTTCCCACACAATGTATACAGCTAGGATCGTCGCACGTCGATATTCATTTCCTAGCTTGTATTTCGGCAAAGTAATACTGAGATTAAATAAACACGATGAAATGTAGATTATTCGATACCAACAGTCTCCGTTTACCCTCCGATTAGTTACAGAGAGTTTAGAAAACATAGAAACATCACGTGGAATGTTCGAAAATCGCATGTAGAATAAACAGTTGATAGTGCAGATAGGTTATTTTAATAAAGGCGCATAATCACTGTTGCGCTATATCGGAGTCGCAAAAAGCCCGATCGAGGGATTTCGACCGGGCTTCGGAATCCGTTCGGCGTTCCTTCGGCCGGGATCAAAGCGGCCGCCGCGTAATTTTGACAATTAAAAGGCTGCGCATCGCGCGCATTGTCTTCTCATGAGCGCCCGTGTCCTTGGCAGGAATTTCGCGCAGCGCGGACCGGTCCGATTTGTGAGCGCCCTTACCTTTCGCCGCGTTTAATTTTTAAATTGGCGCGCTTCTGTTCCCCGCGTTTTTGAACGATGGTCGATATTTATTTTCTTTTTTTTTTTTCTTCCTCTTTTTATTAGCGACCGGCCAATGCTTTCTCAGCTGATAGCAAAGTATCTTCTGACTTTAAATTTACAAGTAATACTATATTTATTTATTTCTTTGTATAACAATTTTTGGGTATTAGTTCCTTCGAAAACTGTTTTAATTTTTTTTGAATTGCTATTAGTTAGTTACTATTGACTATTTTTAAGCTGGACTAACAAAAAATGTAATTCGTACACGACAAGTAAATGTATAATACAACAAATTCACGCTTCGTTATTATTGAGAGAACTACAATATTGAGAGGCATTACGCTGCGTATATCACACGCAGTTGAATTAACAAATTAACGGTTACAATATCGGTTAAGCTCTTAACCAACCATACCGCGCTTATAAACACTCACGACTTTATGACCCATTGAATTTATAAAATCATTTAACCGATCCAAAGGGAGAACTATTAGAGGAAAAAAGGCGATATATTTGTGTTTTATAGTTGATTTCGTGATATCATCCGTAATATATTGGGAATAAAAAAGTGGCCGGGCGTCCCTTTCCGTCCGGGGTCGCCATTAAATTAGAGCTATCGGTCGTAATATCGAATTTTAATGTTAGGACTCTAGTTCGATGTCCCGGCGCAGCTCGAATAAGTCACCGTTTTATGGGGGCCGTAAAATTTTAAAACTCATCGGTAGTACCGCTTTGGAGTAAACGCTTTGTCGAACGATCGATTCGAATCGAGCGTCACAGAATCACAACGTACGGCGCGGGCCGCTTTAACGACCATAATGCGCTCGTAATTATAACAGGGGGAAAAAGAGCGGTTCTACGAATGAAAACATTAAAGTCCATCGACGCTCGTAAAATCCTTTCGACTTCTATTTGAACGATTAACGATTGTCAACGATCAACGGCAGCTTAGTCGCGTTATTGAAACGATAGAAATTGCGACGTTCTAGAAGTTAAGGTCTAGAGATGAGGAGATCTTCTTTCCCAAAGTGAACTTTATGCCAACTGTGTAAGATCCAAATTTTTAAAATATATCACCGTTTGCCTTTTGCCCGTACCACCCAAGTAGAACGGACTACCGAGTTAGGCACCATTTTGGCAGAGTTCCTTCAAGATTTTTCTTCTAACTATGTCGCTTCAAAAATGTATCTTTATCTCAATGACAATATTTTTAGTCGAATAAAAATTACAGACCACTCAAATAGCTCTACTAAAACCTTCGCAGAGTTAAGAATATTGTATCCATAATTTGAAACTCTACTCTTATTCGCAAAACTGTGAATAAGATAGTTGGACAAATAGTTGAAAGTCTGGCTGATATTTGGAAAATTATCAACCAGACTTTTCCGTATTGACTTTAGAAGAAGCTTTTAGCTTTATAAGATGCAGTCACTGAAAACATTAACATGAACAATATAACTCTCGCTCGTGTACTCACATTCCAAATAGTTTTAATTCATAAGAAATCTAGAATTTTCCATTCAACTAAACTTGTAGACAGTACTCCAAGGACAGAAAGTGATATTACACAAATAAAAGTATTTGCGCGCCGCCTGTCAGCGCTGTCTCTAGTTTGACCTGTGCGAAGATGGCCGTGACCTCGGCGCGCGCGCCGCCCGGCCAATCGGTGCCATCCCACCGCGCACAGATTATATAACGACGCGAACGGCGAAAACACGCAAACGATCAACACAAGGAAATCAATTAAAAATTTTTTCAGTCTCATTTCTAAAGGATAAGAAAAAAATTTCAAATAACCAAAGGATAAGAAAAAAAAACATACGAAATATTCAGTCCCTCCAAAAAAGTATACGATACTAAAGTTAAAGATTAATGAAATAATTACCGAACCAAAAATAAATATGGGAAATAATCTCTCCAGTAAGCAGAAACTAAAAATGAATAAGAATGAACAAATATAAATCAACTCTATAAAATAAATCGGTGAATTTGTTTTGTCTATTAACTCGGACACCGTCGACAAGACGAGTTGTAATTAAAATAAAAATCGTCCATCCCAATTCCGAGATAACTAGCCGCCGAGAATCCCCCCAGCGCTTATTAAAATCACGAAACCGCCAAGCTCATAACATAAAACGCTAAACGCAAACGTGCAAATTAAATAAATTCCCGTTCATTAGTTACAAATTCGAAGAGGTCATTATTTTCTGTTTTAATCTCGACTAAACTTATTACATGCCGTGACAAATCGAGTTTGTCATCTGCTGGGTGCACGAGCGGCGGAAAACAGCCCATATGTGCAAGTGATAGAGGCCATTGTAGAGCGCGGGCGCGCCAAGATGGCGGCAAACGCACCGTGCGCGCAAGGGACGTCCGTGGTCGCGCACACCGGCGGCTTTTTGCCCGGATACCGATTATTCTACGTGACGTTCCCACAGCCTCCGATCGGCGGGCCCCTCGGCGGAATTGTGGCGGATTCCTTCGGCGAATTAGCGAATCACCTGTCTAATTACGGCGCGGTTTGATTTTCAACCTAACTAAGCGGACGCGTCGCAACGGAAAAAGGCGCCAGAAATCTTTTAAAAACAGAACCCGTACGATACGGGCACATCCTTCCGTTCCGACAATGCGGTCGTTTCGAGGAGTACAATCGAGAACGCAAATGTCACAAATCGGATAAGCCAGTTCGCCGGCCGGGGTACAGTCGCGTTCAAGACGTGCATTAACATAACAAAAGTGTCGAACGGCGAATTGTCAATCCAGCAATCCGAAATTTACAAGCGATCGGGAGGGAGGGCGAACGAACAAAGTGGCGTCTTTCGAATGCAAATTTGCCGGTGGGGTATTTTTTTCCGCTTGCCCGAATTGTTTTTTTTTCCTATCTCGCCCGGAAAAAACTTCCGCCCTTTTTCCCGCTCGTCGCGCCCGCGCGGGGCGCTTCCGGTATCGGTGTCGTTCGGAAATCGGCTCAGAAAAGACGAAACTCTTTTTCCGAGTCAACACTTCCAAAGACGATGCGATACACCTTAATTCAGTAACATTTGTGCTACTCAATTTAAATTTATGAATAAATTTACGAGGTATTGGCTTTTATACTTTTTTACACTTTTTTTTTATTTAATGCTTGGCAGCCTGCATCTAGAGACGGTTTAACAAGTATTTTGTCCTGATGAAATTATCCAATGTATTTAAACACAATTTGTCAATCATGCTTACAAAATAGAACAGTGACGCAATTATTTAATAACTGAAAGATAATATAAATATATATAACAATATAATATATATATATATATAATAAATAACGTCCAAATTACTTCGTAGAGAGTATTGATTAATAATAAATAATAAACACCATCCAGTTATATCTCAAAACTCTTATACTGACATGCTCTCTCTGTGTCTACTCATACTCTATGAAAAAATCATTCCATCAGCATCGACCCTCATTCTAAAGGTTTTCTATAAGCGAATGCCATAACATTTGACCCCAACCCCCGTTACCGATTGATATTCGCCGACAATTGGCCGTTCATCCTCAACCGCACGGTTTAGGATTCGAACCCAGCGGGCCGCCCGACCGCAAATCGGCCGCCAAACGTCCGGATGTCCTCCGTTAACTACACGTTACAATAACTACGAGTTAACGACCTTTGACAGTAGCGTTATAACGAATATCTAATAAATAGCGCACTCATCGACAATATTGTTTTGTTTTGAATTCTATACATCCCAGTACCGGGCGGTGTCCGACAAAACTTCAGGATATGCCCTAAATAGTGTTTTAAATTCGTCCGAATTCTATAGAATGAATAAATAAGAAGATCTTAACGTTACATAAGAAAAAAAATTATTTCTTATTAAGAACGTGCAAATGGCTATGGGTACCATGTAAATGATGAACATACTTTTGTAAATGTAAATACAAATTATAGATAATATAGATAATCAAACATCATCGAAAAAGTACTTTTGGACGAGCTCTACATTAAACTATGTCAACAACAGTATTTATCTTTAGGTAATTGAAATTATTTTAAGACCACTATTGCTTCAGGGTGTGGAAATGTCATATTTCAACCAGACTATAATGTCCCCGTCTCATTAAATCCCAAATGAGAGCTTCATCGCTGGGGAACCTACGACCCCAACACAGCAAATCCGAAACACTACAGACCATCGACGACTGCGGTCCCGCCTTCGATTCCCGTACGCGCGGTTCGGGTTTCAATACCGACAGCCGACCGAAATAGACGCGCCGAGATCGCCGATAGCGCGGCAGATGCGCCGCGTTACTGTCCCAGGTTTGATTCCGAGCACCTGTTGTTTTCGAGCGCTTCGATTACGGCCCATTAGCGACGGCGATATTTAACACCAACAACTCTGATAAATCGGCTTCGACTGTTATTGCAACGTACATTGAATAAACGGTACCCTTATTGGAACTACAAAATCGAACTCCACAAATGATGTACAAAATAGCCTCTACTTTTTTTAACATCGATATTGCAGAATCACGTATTTTTTCTTTACTTTATAATTAAGGTCTTAACTTTCATTCGAGTACTCGAGATAGCTGGCATTTGCGAGGTTTGAAATTATAAACGCTAAACAAACTAGAACATCACATATCATCTCCATCCTTTGAAACCTAATTAGAGTACAAGCAGAAACAACGTTTACAACAAACAATTGCAACCGTTAAAAAGCGCAACGAACCATATAATATTTTTCTTTCATTCCGTCGTCTATTATTTATATATAGAACACATTTTTAAAATTGGAACGCACAAGACGCCGCCCGTTAACGTGTTTGGCTTTCGAACGCGAAACATTTCGAACGCCAATTAATAAGGTCGGCGGGCACCTTTCCGCCGCCAGATGTCACTTTCGCCGCAATTAAAATTAAACTTTAACTGTTTACCGTTTAGGTGTAATGTTAGCTGCGGCCCTAATTACTAATATAACACCTTTCTATTCGAAATGTCAGGTGCAGTCCGTCGCATTTCCGACTTTGGGGCTTGAAGAGCAGGGTCGCTTTTCGAATGGCAGCGAGTAGCAGTCCGACGGTCGAAAGGGTCAAACTCACGATAAAATACTTTCGGTTAGCCGCAGCTCAATAAATACTTCATAGTATCGGTTAGAGGGCGACTTGGCCGGATGTCCGGTCTCCGATCTTTCGCCCTCCGGGAGGGCCCTCCGTACTGGGGACCGCGTACATGCGATTTGAATATTTCGACCGCGCCTAATCATAGTGCTGCCGGACTGTTTTGTCGAATGAAATATGGTTATTATAGAATTTGTCACGTAACAGTCGAAAAACTAATTTAGTTTTGCTTTTGTTGTTTGATATACTTAAAATGATAGGTGCTTCAACTGATGTATTGCTTTAATTATATGTTTTGTATTACGTTATACTCATAAATTATCTCGAGCTGCATCCAATCATACGATTATCGTGGTCGTTCAAAGTCCGCAACGTTTGGCTTAAAAATGTTTTTGTCGTCATTACTTTTAATGACGTCCTTGACGAGCGAAACCACTGTATAATGATACGTGAAACAATGACAAATCGCCCGACAAAAACATTTCCTATATAATTTTTAAAAAGAAAATCAAAGTAGGTACTGTAATTGCACAAGTTTTACTCGATTGTTAAATCGTTTTAAACGACTTAAAAAGAGGTTAGTAATAGTTTAAGGTCCAAACAAAGACCCTCTAAAGTTTCGATATCAATTACTTATAGGCCATCGGATAGAGGTTCACGAACGGGACCAAGTGTTGCTCTATTGGGATAATCCGGGATTACATCAGTATTCTGACAGGGTCCGACGCGTTGGGGGTCAACGGTTGCTCGCCGTTACCAACTTTGAGGGCGGGGTCATTAGGCGACGTCGAACAACTATGACCGCGAACTGGAATTGAAATAAGACATTGTAACTGAAACAGGTGATACCGTTTGGATCGGCTTTTAGAAAGTATCGATCGGAAAGTTGGTACCCGGCCCTAATGATGTTACATCAGTTAATTTTTTTTTTAAATGTCTCGATCAACGATCCACGTGTCTTTCTATGTAACGAAAATCGAGGATATTCGTGTTTTTTTTTTTTTGGTGAAATAAAATTATTTTGCCTCTGGAAAATCACAATAATTGAATAAAAGTTTTTGGACGTTTTATTATTATATTCAGTATTGCGCCAATCGTTGCTTAAAATGCGAACAATGTAGATAAATACGTTGAGGTTTTCGTTAGTGTGTCATTCATCCGTTTAGCTTAGCGGTTAAAGTGTCTGGGCGCGAAACCGGAAGACGTGGATTCAATTCCCGCAGTCACGATTTTAAAGCTGCAATATGATTTGCATGTGTATCACAGTCCTTTTCCAGTCTTGTTGACAATTGGGTTATGTTTCATTGCTGGCTTAACTCACAGACGTTCAAACTTAACTACGAGGCGTCGATTCATTAAACTCGCGACAGCCTATTGATACTGCTCATCGATCTCACAGTAAAAACGGTCGCGGTAAAAAGTGAACGAACTCACGCGATTTTGGACCCACCACTGTGCACATACCGTCGCTTTTGCGTCGACAGCGCCGCAGCACGTGCAATCCGTATAAAGGTTAGCGGATATCGCTTATTAATGCCACGACTGAATCCGACTATTGGCAATAAAGATGATTGAGCAGAGAATGGTCGGATAAAAAAACATCCCGCGAAGACTGCACGCAATTATGGCCCTAAGCGCATTTGCATTCGGAACACAATTGCATGCATCGCACACCGTTGTCGAGTAAGCTATATGCTTTTTTTCAAAGCATCGCTAATTACAACTGTAATGGGTATCGTTCGCTTTGTTGCGTTCGGATATTAATGGTTAAATTGTAATCTAGAGAAGGCATGATCGTGTTGTAATATATCACACCGAATGTACCGGTCTAAGTTATAAAATCATGTAGCCAATAACTATCTTATTATATTATCAGAAAACTTCGTCCGAGCTTCCCGTAACTCGACGACAATGCTGTTAAAATGGTGGAAATGTGTCTTTTACATAGATATTGCAGTATATATACTTAAAGCTTACACTATCTGTAGTATGATCGTTGTACTGATATCAGTCATAATGTTAGTCAAATCAATCAAATGGTTCACATTCACGCACATGAACATAACCTGAATACAGATTAAATACACCACAATCAAGGTTTCGAACCGGAAATCCAATGAGATAGACCAATCGACCACCGCGGTGAAACAAAAACACAAACAAGCGCCCAACCAGACATTACGAACCGTAAATCCTCGCGTTAATAATTCCGTAATATAACTAACTCGCGCAACAGTAAAATGAGTTACGAAACGCCGATCGCTGACGAATTAATTACCAGTCCAGTGCGGACGAAAAAACCACCTAATATAAGCATAATATAATCGTAATACAAATAAATGAGCGGTCGAAAAAATCAAACACCGCTCGGGCCGGGATTGAGACACATGTATCATATTTACGTTCGACGGAGTTATTTCGAGTCGCTATCGGGATAGCACATTAAAATCCCCAACGAAAATATTCGTTACGAATAACGATATCATAATAAACTGCATCCGATCCGTTGACGCTGATGTTTTGTATCCGTTTACAATTTATTTATTTATTCGACTTGTGCCGCTTCGACGCCGCGGCCCGGCTGGGGACGACTGAAAAGAGAACGCTACACACGCGTTCGATTTTCGTTTGTATTTATGTAAAACAAAACGTTCTAAATTCAAAATTTTTCTTCATGGAAACGCAGTTAAATCGTCTTTTGAATTTACAAGAACGTTCTAGAAAGTACCCTAATATTGCTGTAACCCGTATCGTTTTCGGAATTGATTTCGTTGCTACATTTCATAACGCTTTGTTCAGGTGAAATGAATACATCCGAGCTCTGAATACCTCGTGATTTTGTACGATTGTAAATGTACCAGAAAACACCAAAAAATAGATTTTGTATAGACTTGTATTACGGCGTTTGTGTACTAACAAAATAAGAACAAGACAATTATATAGCCAACAAGTTATTTCCCTAAACACTTACTACTTTATATGCATTGATTAAAACAGTTTCGTGACAATAAACAAAAATTTAAACACGAAATGTGAACACAAAACATAAATATTGCTCTAACATTATTGCTGTTTTAAGAAAATTTTCTTGAAACGAAGGCTATCAAGGCGTTTTCTTTATTCCTTACGAAAGAAATGCGCGGACATAAAGAAGGCGCCTTCATCTCACCGCGACCTACGCTTCGAAAGGGATGCACATATAGGCACTCCTCCAGCGTGAAAGGGACGAAACCAACTCCGATAACACGTCAATACATTCCTTACCAACAGCACATACGAGTTTGCATCCTAACGCCCGACAATAAAGTCGAGATTCTATTGATCGCGCTAATGGAAAACCGATACGACATCAATATATTTCACCGCGGTTCGCGACGCTCCAAAATCGCTTCTATCCAGTTCAGATAGAGTTGAACTTTGCGTAGTGGCGGTTTTTAAGAAGGCGTCCTCGATATCTTGCAAGATAGTGAGGGCGTTCGGAACCGATCGAAGACCGATAACGGTTTATTGGAAAAACACCTCTATTCGATTCCTCCCGAAGGTTTCCCGCCACGAGGCGTTGCCTCACGCGGGCACGCCCATATCTTATGTGAAAACGAGAACTTTTTCCAACGAATCCCCGCGATAACCGTATCGACTGATATATATATTTTTTATTACTCCTCTCTATCTCGGCGGTGCTAAGAAAACGACATCAGGTAAATTCGGCCCGCGGTGAAATGTTTCTTTCATTCGAGGCTCTATTTCGTTGTGCCTTCGTCAATTAAGTGAGTTTGAAGGTTGTTCCACACTTTGCCGTGTTTCTGCCCTTTGGTGTTGTGACGCCTTTATTTATTTTTTCTCTTTCGCGTTCGCGGCTGTCTCGCGTTTCGTACGGACGGTGTAGGATTAATTTGCGAACGTGTTTAGTTGGTAGTTGTTCAGACGGCTTCTCGTTATATTTAAATTCATTGTGCACAAGCGATCGCTTTTCTCTCGCTCCGAAATGTTTGCCCGAGGGTTGACAAATCAAACGGCGTTCCGTTAATTCGTATTGAATTACACTAGCCGGCCACGACAATTAAATCCCGTAAAACAATTGAGCGAGCGCACGGGCGAAATAAAAATCGATTCAACGCGAATCCAGTTAGAGTGTTATACGATTTCCTCTCAGGGCTACCATCTCGAATGAGATCGTCTTTATAATTATGTTAAAAAAATTTAATTACATCGTGTTTTCGAGAAAAATTATATACAGTTCGAAGAAGAGTGAGCGAATCAAATCGCATTTGATTTTATGGTAGGCTTTATTGAAAAGTAAAAAAAAAATTGAAAGCATTTGTATAATAATTTAAAACGGCGTTGGTGTTTCTGTTCTACCAATTACAAAATGAACATATTCATTATAAGGATGAATAAGCATTCAATGTTCTAAAGGATTTATTCACCATACGCATATTTCAGTATAATGTCTTCATTATCTATAAAAAACGGTGTCGAATAATAATTTTACCTACTAATCGAACGTGTGGTAGCCCTGATTTGATACAACGGAGAGCGTAAAAAAAAACGACATACGTAATAATAATCGGTAAGCAAATGAAGTGAAAAAAGCCTGATCAACGACTCGCCAGAGAGCGCGCGCTCATTATGCGTTCGGATTTTAAAACAATGCGCGCCATTCAGCTGCGATCGGCCGCTGAATGCGGATCCTGACGGACTTTGGGGCTGTTCGAATTGAAATTGGAATGTCACTTTTTCTTTTTTCTTTTTTTTTTTTAAGAAATAATTCGTATTTTTTTGATGGAACTGATCAACGACCGCTATTTGTTACCCGATCCGAATAATGAAGGAAGAAAAAAAAGGCAACAAAGCGCTCTTGGCATCGGGCGAGGCGCTTTGCCCGACGCCCGGTGCCGGCCCCACAAAGGGCAATTTGTTTCCCACAGTGATTGATTCGGCCGATACATCACTAGCGGTTTTCCTATGAAAAATCGCCATAATCGACTTAAAAACTCATTAGGGACGGAAGACAAAGAAACCAAGCGGCCGCCTCGATTCTAATTTGAGTCGCGATCGAAACGAATCGCGGCCGTGATTGCGCCGGCGGGTTTTTATGTGATTCCTCATCAAAAAGCCACGGTTCCTGTGTCCTGGACGCAAGCGCCCGCTCCGCCCGCCGCGCCGCGGTGCATCAGCCTTTTTTCTCCCTTTATTAATTTCGAATCTGTATTTCTTGTATTCCCGCGGAGGTTAACTAATTTACCCGTTCGGCCGCGTACCGCACCCGCGATAACCGAGGCGATGGATGCTCTGGTGTCGTTGAAAGCGCGAGTCAGGATCGACCTTTTTGTTTTAGTTATTTGCAGTAATTTATGACTAACTAGCTGTGTACGCGACTTCGTTCGCGTGGAATTTTAAATAAATAAAAGTTCTTAAATAAAAATAGCATAAGTTACTTCTTATTACAACAGCTACCAGTGAAAGTCCCGTCAAAAACATTTAAGAGATTAGCCGGAACGAACAGACAGAAATTTCAAAAAATGTTATTTTGGTATACGTACCGTGTATCCATATGCATTTAGTAAAAAGCGGTTATTTTCATATTACAAACAGACACTACTATTAGCGTCAGGCCGCGAATGCCGAAGACGTGGGTTCGATTCCCACAACGGCGACAATCTTTTCGCACTTTTCTACATATTTTAAAGACACTATTATTTTATTTATCTGCATAGATGAATAGATCACATCTTTCATCACAATTTGATACCTTTGGCATTTCTTTAATATTCATAAAATTTACTTTTTTTTGTAAT